GTATGTGCTTTTTACCGAGTTTAAAGATTCACAAAATTTTCCTGCATTTTCATGCAAATTTTTGTAATTTATGAGAAAATAGCAGTGTAGATGGATAAAGTCAAGAGTTTGCGCAATGCCATTTTTGTGCAATTCTGGGATGTTTTTGTTAAGTAAAAAGAAGTCGACGTGTACATGGTTACTGTGTATGTGCGATTTTGAAAAATGCGGCAAGGAGTTTTGCGATTCTGCACTTTTCCCAATTTTGCAAGTTAATATTTGTCATGATTAAAGCAGTTTTTGTTCCATAAATTTCTAGCATAAGTGTAATTCAGCTAGCAGATTGTTGGAAAAAAAGTGTTGAGTAAATAAAAAGAAAAGAAACATGTCTTTACTTAGTGAAGATAAAAATGGCGGCGAAAAAAAAAAAAAAAAAAAAAAAAAAAAAAAACAAAAAAAAAAATAGGGGGTTGCTGTAGCAGAGTTGGTCGCCAAATTTTCGCCAAGTTAACATAATCCAAAGATCAACCAAAATAACAAAGGGAAGATATAACATGATTTAAAGCCAGCGTGAAAATAAAATATGTTCCATGCTATAAATATCACAAAATATTACTGTTTCTTTTTTAATTGATTACAAATTAAAAGTAAACATTTTGGAAGAAGAAAAATACTTTGATATATACATAAACAAATTCATAACTAAAACAGTCTGAAAATGAAACACGCTGCACATTAAAAATTCGGCAATTAAGTTTGCTAAATCTGGCAACAACTTCTAATCATGACAGATTTCCAAATTTTGGAAAATGGTCAAGGTGTCTGCTGAAATAAGGAAGTACTGTTTTTATAATATAAATTAAAATCATCATAGATAATTGAAAAAAAATTGAGATAAAGCATAATATTACATAATATTTCTATAGTATTTAAATTATTTCCACCCAATAATGAAATACAAAAATGTAAGAACTCATCAAATATTAAGATGTATTATATCCAGTTGCCATACATATGCATGTAGAAATTCACACATTTTTCATTGTGTAAAACACTTTTAAATTCTGAATATTGTAAGCAAAATGCATTTTACATTTGCAGAATAAAACAGAATTAAAGTCATAACAAAGTTAATGCCAAAGACTATATAGTTACATTCATGGCATTCTGATATTTTATCTGTTTTTAAAATTTCAAATAAAATGTTCTATTTCATTGTGTCAAAAGTGATATAGCGGACAATCAGTGACACTTCACTCCTTTATCATATTTGATATGCGGGACCTATGAAAGGAAAATGAAGCTTATCATATACAATATGTTGACAAAGAAGAGGTTAATAAATTGTAAAATTAAATAGCTCAGAAATGTTTATACAGTTAAAAAAGAGAGTGAAAAAACATGGAATAGATAATCCTGTTCAGAATATAAAGCCACAAAATATTTCTCATGAATTATTTCAATTGAAAATTGCTCCTAGGGAGTAACAGCTATCAGAAGCTTCAGAGCTTATTACAAGTGAAGATGAATGCATTATAATTTAAGCTACTTTCTAACATCTATGACAGCAAGTATTCATTAAATACGATAAAACATTCCAGATTGAGGTTAAATTTGCATTTTAATATTTGACAAATTAAAAAGTATACTTCAAACATAAGAATTCCAGCAAAACACCAAACGTATGGCAGGCACAGAAGTGAGCAGGTCATCAGAATTTTTACCAATGGTCATACAAATATACTTCTGTCACATTAACTGTGCACTTCTACCCCAATTTTTAGGAAGAAAACCCTTAGAAGGGTCTGAGGGTCTCCCAACTCTGTTTCCCTTACCACCAACTTCTCAAGAGAACTTTCAGCTAGCCATAGATTTTGAGTGCCTCTTGCCACACAGATACTATGTCCTTATAAACCAGTAAATCATCTGTTAATATCCTTTCAAAGATTTATCCTACTCTATTCCGTGCATCCATTCTAACTGATATCTTCTAACAGTGTGCAATCACATGTGTAATGATTTGATAAGCAAGCAGTTAAATTTGTGTAATAAAACGGTCCACTAGTTCATGAGATCCTGACATTATTGAATAAATTTTTGACAATATTCCATCTGAAGAAATTATACACCACCAATGACAAGTACATAATCTTAAAACTGTTTTTCAAAAGGATGGTATCATAGAGCTTATAAAGCTCCATCTTATTTCCACAGTTCTAAGATTCAGAATTCATCCTACCAGGTATTAGACAGATCCATTTTTCTGGTAGGTCAAATGTGCATACCTAAAATATAAATGCATTAAAGCAAAAAATGAATGAGCATCATAAGCACATAAAAGTCATTCAAGACTAACAATTCATTCGTACAATTTTTTCTTTTAGTTGCATGATGTAAAATACTCAACTAACATAAACCACAAGATTACGACAACAGATAAACAGGTATTCAACAATAATGCAGACATGATGTTTTGATGCTGATAGCTGACTAGTTGAAAGATAAACAACCAGTAACTTTCTATGGAAAGGAGTTAAAAAAACACGTACCTTTCTTTCAGTGAAAAATTCAAAAGAAATATTCTTCCAAGTAGTAGATTATTCAAAAGGAGAATGTGAGTCAAAGTTTTTAATGGCTATATTAAAATAAGAATGGGTTTCTATAACAAGCAACAGGGGAAAAAGGCAGTGCTAGACTTTTGTCATACATTACAATTTATGTGGCTCCTAAAGAATTTTGCCTACCCAAAATTTTGTCTCCCATTTAAGCCACAACTGGCTTTGATCCAATTTCCAACACTTAAAACTAAATCTTCATAATTAAATTCTTTTCACAGATTTTTAGGACAGAATTTATACAAATCAAATCTTTTATCAACCTAAAATGTGTACTAAAAAGAAATTAGTTTACAAGAAATAAAATAAATAACCCATAAAACTTAAAAATTAAATCTTAAAAATGATACACATGTACAATAGATTAGACGACAGCATAAATACACTATTTTAATATCATAAATAAATCTGGTTTACAAAAATAAAACGGAAAATTTAATATCCTGACATAAATAGACAGTTTAAATCCCATTGAAGTATAAAACAACAAAACGTGTCCAGATATTTAAAATAATCAGTAAAAATCACTTAACTGAAACTGACATATAAAAGTAAATAAATACATATGCATCTTTTGGAAATTTATAATCATTACACAGAATGTATAATTAGTATTAACAATTTAATTGCTGCAGTATTAATTTGTTTCATACCAATCTAAATTTTAATTATTTATAAAGCTATTTAATAAGTGCTAATCTTCAGTAATGCTAGAATATTAGAAATAAGCCAAAATGAAACTTTTCAGTAATGAAACAAAAGCCATTTAGTAAGAAAATTAAAATGCAATAAAATAAATACAGAATAATTAGGCTACAAGATATCAATATGAAGATCTTTGATTAAATGCCAGACATACGATTACAAATACCATAACATGGCAGACAGATAACAAACTACATTTAAAACATAACACCATATGAAAAAATATAATGACAGATTCATGCTCTTCATTCCTTAGCAAAAATATGAATAATTAAAATAAATTTAAATAGTATCTTAAAATATAAAACAGTAAAACAGAAAATAAATGCTACATCTTGAATCTGAATGTACAAAATACATATGCACAGAAATAGGATGAATTAATGATTAAGGAATTATTTATAAAAACATAACTAGGATAAAATTCTCATGTAAGTTTTAAATCTTCTCTTAAATCTCACAGTCATTCTCAAGTTCTCATTAAGTTTAACAATCTCCTGCAACTTAGACAACAGAAATATTTCATAAAAGTTACTCAGAACTTGTAATAGATGACATTCAGTTGTAAATAATCAAATTTTTAGCTAAATATCTAGATAGCCATAAGTAATGCCACTTGCCCAATTTATGTCATCTACAATATGTAAATTAATCAAAAATCCATATTATGAATCCATAACGATTGAAAATATAATAGATTACCAACAGTAAGAGACAATTCAAGAATAAACATCCTATCTTACTTTTAACCAGCTATAAAACTAACTTATAGAAATTTTTCTTGAGAAGCTAACATTTTCCCTCTAGAATAAGTATTTACACTTCAGAATGCAATCTTTAAACGCAACAAATTAAACTGGATTAAAGAGTTTGAAGGAAAACAAATATATGGCCAATAATTAATGAGAATATTCTACGCTGACAAACACATTTGAAATTACACAAAAATGCTTAAGGAACCAAGTTAACTCTTCTAGGAAATCAAACAGAAAAATTTTAATTAAATATGCTTTTATAAAGCGCAATGAAATTTTAAATACTCCAAAGTTTATTAAAAGTTGTCGCCAAAGAATGAATTTATCATGATATATGTCAATATGTTTGGTTATTTAACTACTGTACACGGTTCACATTGCAATCAGTGATGGGAGGCTGTTTTCTCCCTAATAAATACTTCTAGATTATAAGAATTTTAATACAATTCGAAAGAATTTTGCAAAAGATCTTTTTATTATTACACAAGATTTCCGCAATTAGTAGGCTTACTTAAAAGTAACTAAAATCAGCGTAGTATCACGAAAACTAAAAGTAAATTATGCCTCCGTATAAATTTCCATAATTCTAATAAATTAGAATATTGATGAATTTAAAACAATATTTATGAATTATATTTCCGTAACATTTATTTGAATTCCAACACATGCCGATGGTATGGACATGTAATTATTTGTATAATTATGGGACTGGAATTACTTAACAACGGAGAATAGAATAAATTTTAAAATCAGTTCTTTACAAAGTACATAATACAGAAATTGTCATGTGTTTTTGAAGAAAAAAAGAAACATAGACGTGGTACACACTTATTTCAATTTTTAAATACTTAAAACTTCCGCAAAATCAAATTAAAATTAATACACAAAATACTTCTCGCATAAATTTTCTCAAAATTTATGTACTTAAAGGCAATATACAACTCACCACAAAATAAATGTTTACATTAAATAGCTATGTATAAATAATTTTTAAAAAAAAAACTTTAAAGGAGCCATAAGCAATGGCACCCGGATGTCGCGTTTAATTCTGCCATTCTCAGCGTCCTCTACAGAAAAATATATGTTAGAAAATGAAAGTAGGAATAAAAACTTGGAAGAATAAATGAACCTGAAATAGAATTAATAACGCAAATTTAATACTATTTACGCACTAGTTATTGTGTGCACTTGCTTCTAGAATTTTAGCGCGAAGACTGATGAATCCGTAATTAAGACAAATTTCTGCTGTCATCTATTTGATGGATACTGGCTTTTATTGACTCCTTATGACGAAAATTTCATGTTTTCTTTCTTTTCAAAGGGAGAAAATGTTTCTAGTTCCTATTCAGGCTTGAAAATTTCTTTTATTAATAAAATAAGCTTAATGAAGTTGATTTAGTAATTATGTTGTATCTGCTACTAAAAGTCTTTTCTTGGCATTAAAGTGATCCACATCGAGCTAATCAGCAACGGAGTCACTGAACACTGATAATTCGACTTCATTCAAAACCCGCAGAACAGGCTGGCTATATGAGAACTTTCGTAGTTTTTCCCCGTGTAATATAATACAAGAGGTTCTTTCCTAGAAAGTCCTCCACGAAGATATCCAGGGCAGTTCGGAAAGAGTCATATTGTCTCACGGCGTAATCTCGATGGGTCCTATTTGTGCTGCCTAGTGTAACCCTCAGGGCCCTAGTCTGGACACCGCCGAGATGGAAGAACAGGTCGTTTTTCACGATCTACTCGACAAAGAGCAAGTCTCGTGTCAACGTCTGATCATTACAGAGATGGACTCGTCGGCATCTGATGAGGCATCTGTTGTTACCTTGAAGCTAAACTTCTGTGAGACTATCACCATTCTGGAAACTAGCTTTCAAAATTTCATTGGTTTAATGTTCGGCCAGTTTTTGAATCTGAACCTCCTCTGTCTCAATATTCATAAAAGTGTTCATGACTCACTGAGGGACTTCCAGGGACAAAATATCCTCAAAACGCTTAGAAACATCCTGGTGCAAAGACTTAAAGGTGTTGATTGTAAACTTATATTTCATCCAAGTGGATTTCACTGCTTTTATGCAGATCTGAAAAGATTGGAAACTGACTGAACTCGTGGAAACAAAAATTCTACTTCCACAAAGTGAGCTTTTTTGGAAAGGCAGAAATAACAGATTTTGCTGTGATCAAATTGAGCTCTTCATCTTCAAGCTGTAAATTAATTCCATTGAATGTTGCGAATAAATCGGTCATGTAAGCAACACTTGTCTTAAGTTATAGCAATCTGTCTTTCAGAGCTACATATTTTTCTTCGAGAAACTCAAGTACAGAATCGGAAAGATTCCAGAACCTATTGAGGCAGGTGCTTTTGGTGAACCAGCGAACATCGGCTTGTAGGAGCAAGCCATCGAATTTTTCGTCGTTGTCCTCACGCAGCTGCTCGAGTAATTGATCGTTGAGAGCGTTACTGCGAATTTTGTTCACAGCAGAGACGACGTATTGCAATGACTAATCCAAAAGGTAGCTGAGATTTTTGCAACTAAATGCTGTCCATGAATCAGTGAAGAGCTAAAATATTTGGTATCTCTTCTTTCTCTTTAGAATAATCGATGACAGTATTAAAATTACATCTATATTTAGTATCTTCAATCAAGCTTTTTGCAAATAGCATCCCTTAAATAATTTTCCCTTCCTTCACAGCCCAGATGTACGCTAACAGTAAAGTTAGCGTACATCATTAGTTCTTGGCAAAGTTGATTCATCAACCTAAAGAGAAAATTTCGGTGGGTATCCGAATTTGTATAAGAAAGCTTCAACAACTTTAGCCATCTCATCAGTTCTTCACCGCGGGACACTTTTTATATCATTGGATACAGTTGAATGGTGTAAAAGAGGTTTCTAAAACTTCCTTGACAGGCGAAAGTATCAAATCTTCGCCGATGGTATGAGCTTTCCCCGATTTAGCAATTAATTTTATATATTATAAGAGGCTATCAAACCATTGTTGCATTTTTTATGAGGCTGCTAGTAAGCCTGAGACAGACAGTGCCTTCAGAAACTTGTCCTTCATGTTAGGGAAAAACCACAAATCTTTATTTTGTTTGTAGGAATGCATTTTTAGCAGATGCTCTTGTAAACGAAGTGCCTCATCAGATAACACTTTTTTACGAAGTAAACACGTGGGTAGTTGCGAGTTCGAGAGGTAAGGAACAAATTAGAGCCTCAATTAAGTGCAACTGTATTGACAATCGTTGGCGGCAGCAAAATACGATGAGGGAAAGAAAACTATTTCTCAAAATTAATTATTCACGATCATGATAAAAACACTAATGCGCGCAACTGCCTGCCGACTGGCCAAATAAACAATGAAAGTAATGTGGATGTCACACAGCTCCACCTTCTCAACTTTGTTTATGTAGCGTATTCCGAGCTTTTACACATAATTTTTCAAACAAAACATCATTTCAAGTAAAATCTATTTTTAAAAAATAATTTTTTTAGTTGCAAACAGTACTTACCTCTGCTAACACACCAGGGCAATGAAGTGGATCTTACAAAATATCGCGGCGGTTTCATAAATAATGCACAGTTACAGTTAGCAAACTTAACTCATGATAATTTTACTAAATGCAAGTGGCATTTGGAGAATAAATATCATTTAAGATTAACGCGCGTCTATCCTGTTGTTTAACTTAACTGTGTGCTTAGTGATGACGGCGCCTGTCTACTTTGTCTGTGGGTCTATCTCACGCACTCAACTGTTTTTTCATTTGGTTAAACGAATACGAAGGATGTGTTTATAAGCCAAGATATATTCTATTTTATATGAAATGCTTATTAATATGGCAGGAAATAAAGTTCAGGTTGGAATAAAAGGAATATTGTACTAAGTTCATTTCCAAGAATGAACTTCTTAATGAAATAGTTGTAGATTGTATGTACCTACATTTAATGAACTTTAGGATTGTGGTTTACAATCATTTCGATAATTGTAAATGTAATTTTCGTGCAGCACATTGTATTTGAATTATTTAATTTTTAGCTGAATTAAATGACTTAAGAACATTGTTTTTCAAATGATAAATTTAACAAAGTAAAACTTGGAACTTTTTTCACTGTATTCGGTAAAATGTTTCATATTATGCCAGTATATTAATTCAAATAAATTCGTCCTTACTTCAACATTAATAAATAAAGTCATGTTTCAATAGTGAAATAATTGCTAACATGTGATTTGCACTGATTTCTGAAGTATGATTTTTTAAACTATATAAAATTCATAAATTAATAACTTACTTTATGAATTATTTCCCTTTTTAAATATTTTGCTGTAATATTTATGAAAACTATTTTAAGTATTAATTATTTTAACAAAATTTTAAGCAATAATTTAGCACTAATTAAATTTAATAATTCAAAAGTATTTATATTAAATTTATATTTCATTATATGCATCGAACTTAGATTAATATATTTAGATCGAATAAAGTAATAAAGCATTACAAAATAAATTCTATGCTGATTTCAGATTCTTGAAAGGGCAGATTTAGTCTCTTATCATTCTAAAAGTAACGCTGATGAACTGTGAAAAAAATTCTAAAACGATCATGTCTAAAAGCGGTCAAATCACGACATTTCAGCGACGTCGACAAAGTGCCGAGATGCAACGACAAATATTTTTCATCTTCGCTGAGTTGTAAAGACGTCTAACACTTTGTAACGTCTCTGACCAGTTTGCAACGTCTAAGTCATGTGCTACTTGGGTATAAGCTTTTAATTTAGGAACATATTTTTTAAAAGTCATTTTAACATTATTATTGTGTCCAAAGACACTATGTATATCTTTTAAGCATTTGGAAAAATCAAACAATTCAGAATTATTAGCTATTCATAGAGCTTATATTCATCATATTTACATTATTACTGTTACTATTACTTTCATTAACAAGTTGGAGAAATTCGGAAGTTGGGGGATTTGGGGGACTTTTATACCCTTGAATATCATTATTTTGTGATGGAGAGTTTCATTGGAGAGCCTGAGCAAAACTTAGTCCAGATTTGATGGAACTCTACTCTTGTTCGCTGGTTTATACTTTGGGAATTTCGGACATCTACAGTGCGACGATGGATGTTTTCCAGAACCATTTAAAAACTTTGGTCTCTCAGCTCTTCCGATTTTAGAGCAGTCAGCAGTTTTATGGTTTTCAGCACATTTAACACAACGTGCTTGAAAGAAGCAGTTTTCCAACAAGTGATGCCAATTTCGGTAATTGTGGCATTGCGGGATTTGATTCTTTGAGACGTATATTTTTCAACAGAAACATCATCTTTTAGATTGTAACTTTCGTCTACGTTTTCTCATTGCATGAGCGTAATCAGGAATAGCGGCATAGGTGCCCTCGTACGATGTTTCTGAGCGAATTTCTGCGCGACAAAATCTCTATCTGTGATTTCTTGGGCAATCTCCTGTTTTTCTGAGTAGAAGGCAGTCCTCTCAGAACTACTCTGGGTCGCTTGTGCTTTTCACTGATTATGTAGTGCTCGATAGCTTCGTTTTTGAAAAGCGTGGTTAGATTTCTGTGGTCGTCAGACGCTTGCGGGAATATCTTCAGAAACTCTCCGTTAACTTTTCCTAGAAATTTTGAATTATTTTTTTTGCCGAAAGCTGCTTTAAGAAATCGCCAAAAGTAAGCTGTCTAGGGTTTACCATGATTGGTAGAACATTAGAAATTTTGAGGACAGTAATATTCTGCTGAATTTCGTTATCCTGATGAGCGGTGCCAGCAGTTGCAAAACTAGAACTCTAGGCCCCTATGCAAAAACAATTCTTGCCCACTAATAAATTTACAGTACTTCTCCACCCCCAAAATCGATGTTTCCAGGAGCCAACATTTTGATAATGATTTTTATCCGATCAGGTTTAATAGTTAAAAATATGATATAGAGACACATGACCTCCTTATACCGGATATAATTTATGCGGAGTCAAACTTCTTCTAATTTATTTTTTCATAAATTATACACATAAATTATTTCTGCTGTATTT